GGTCCCTTTTTGGGGCCCTTATTATAATACGGCACCTATTATTTAGGGTACCCCAAAAAGGGACCATAATTTGGACAACTGCCCACGTATAACCCTGCAGTCGCGATGCTCTTGGTCTGAGAACTTAGTCTGTTGCATACCTGAGCACCTTACTGCCTCTGGAGTTGTTGTAGTATACAGAGGTCTACTGATTTTGCTTTCCTTCTAAAAGGGGTTTAAGGGAACCCGAAATCCTAAGCCCTTAAAAGGAAACCCTAAACCTTTAACCCGAATCTTTCGCACGGGGCGTCTTCCTGATCCCTTCGAGGGACCGAAAGCCCCAAGGCCCGAACACCCTCAAGCCCAACAGGGTTTAGGGTTTAGGGTTTAGGGTTTAGGGTTTAGGGTTCCCCGTGAAAAGTCCGAAGGTTTAGGGTTTAGGGCTCCCGTAAGCAAAACCCTCTGGTTTGGGGTTCTTCATGATTTCAACATGGTGTGGCGGGGGGGGGGGGTAGATTATAGCATACGTGCAAGGACTAAGCCTGAGGAATAATGGTGTTGCGATGTGCTCTGGCTGATATTCGAAGCGATTCCTTCAACCCCACATCCTGAAAACCCCAAGCAATCGACCCTAGCGGCCCAGAGGCCCAGGAGCTCCGAAGCAAATCCTCAGAAAACTCCCAAACCTGCCATTCAACAGCAAGCAAATCATCGTTTGGGGTCTTGGGTTGAGGGTCTACTCGGTTCCCAGTAGTACCCTTTTTCCTTTTTTTTTAATGGGGTCCCTTATTTAAACCAAGCAATAGGAAAAAGGGTACCTTGATTATTGAGGCGCTACTCAGGAGCTTAGTCTATGAAACCCTACAGTTTCAAAGCTCTGAATAAAACGCAGAACTAGACCCGACAAGGTGGTAGGCACCATCTACATGGAGTGCGGCTGGAAGACCCCTGGTGTAGAGGAGTGTATGGAGCCAGTCGGTGAGGCTCGGGTTCAAGAGTGCTAGAGTCTATCTTGGGTGTTAGAGGTTCAGGGTTTAGGGAGTTGAATGCAGCCCTATCGTTTCCTTGGATGGTATCATGGTTTTGTAGAGTGTTGGGGTATGTTCCTGCTTGAGACCTCCATCTCAATGCTTCTGTTTCTTGACTTCTAAGAGGCGTATACCAACACTCACACTTTACAACACGTTTGTCATGGTTTCATGAAGAGTCTTGCCACGCTTCGTCAGTGCCTGTGAGCTTTCTCAGGAGAGGGGAGGGTTGAAACGGTTTAGGGTTTAATGTACGGGCCTAAATAACTATTGATACTATGTTGGTGGTTCCTTATTACAACTATAGTATAAAAGGCCCCAAAACCCTATTCTAGTTATTCAGACCCCTATATTACGGCCAAAGCTTAAGTTTAGGCTCCGAACCTCTGCAGCCCATCCGAGCAGGCCGCAATGGTCTCGGAGGTTCATGCGAAGTACCCGCTGCTGTGCAAGGGCCGCTGTGTCCGATGGTTTTTCTGGTGGCAAGGGTTTAGGGTTTAGGATTTAGGGTTTAGGGGCTTAGGGTTAAGGTGTTTAGGGTCTTGGTCACACACTGTATAACAGTAGCAGTAGCCCAGATGTAGCAAACGCTACCACTACAGAAGAGGGCAGCGGAGGTGTTGGATTCAAGTCTCGGGGTTTTAAGTTCAGTAGACGGAAGTTCATCATCGATCTAATTTTTCTGTTTTGGAAGTAGAGCTTCTGTCTTGCGGTGTTGGAGCCCGACATGTTTCGCTTATACTCACCACTCACGTGCAATTTGTATTCCACCGAACCCTATCTAATTATCAAGGCCCCCCTGCGACCTCGAAAACTTGCTATAGGCGACCGTCCTCTAGTCTTGTCTGACATGCCAGCGTACCTAACATGAAGTTAACAAGGAGGTCGTAGTCTTTCAAAGTGTTCGTTTACAGGCCCGAAGCCCTAATCGCTTAGCCCTCTCAATAAAAATCATACTTCGATGATTCCTTGGAACTCCATTCTACTCGTCGAGGTCCCGGTGCTAAGCAGCTTTTCCGAGACCGCATCCACATACATCTCCCGGTTTTTGTTTGGGGCCTGGGTTCGGGTGTAGGCTTTAGGAGGGCTCTAGGTCATGCTAAAGTTTGGGGACTAGGGTTTTGGATTTTAGACCGGGTAGAGGGTTTGGGGATTCAGCTAAGATACTGAACGGAACAGAAACCTAAACCCTAAATCCCTAAAACCCTAAAACCCTAAACCCTAAACCAGCCCCGAAATGCACAAGATCTCAGCCTATGGCCCAGAAGGCCCTCGTCGATCTCCTACACGACCCGGTATAGAAGCCTCCTGGTAGAACCTGGTTTCCGGGAACTTCCACTTTACCCCCATTGCGAACCCCTTGACCCCGAAAACCTCCCACTAACATCACAAAACACGATGAAGCTGATATAGGACCTGAAGAGAACGAGCATCTACAAAACCCTTAAACCTAAGCCCACCAAACTCTAAACCCTAAACCCTAAACCCAAACCCACCAAACCCTAAACCCTAAACCCTAAACCCTAAACCTAAACCCACTAAGCCCTAACAAACCCGAGAAAGCTGGAGCAGCCGTTCAGGAATGGTTTGCTTTGCCGACCTTCGGCTGGGCAAGGCTGTGGAGCCTGCTCCTGGGTTTTGGAGTACCATACTTTATTGCTTTAGGGTTTAGGGTTTTTTTGTTTTAGGGACCTGTTCCCTAAAGGAGCCATTGTGAAATAGACTTTATATTTGTTTCCCTGAGCCCTAAACCCTAAACCCTAAACCCTAAACCCTAAACCCTAAACCCTAAACCCAGGCTCTGATCCACTACAAGAAGAACCCTTTGGTGAAAGGCCGGCTCGGAGCGTGGTTGTTCTACTACTACTACTACTACTACTACTACTACTACTACTAACCACCACCACCACCACCACCACCACTACTCCTACTACTACGACCCTAAACCCTGAACCCTAAACCGTGTTAGTCTCAGGTTCGAATCTTGACAACCCTGTGCCGGAAGCCCCCAAGTCCAACTGCAAAGCCTTCGATCCTACCCCAAACCCTGAACCCTCAACCCTAAACCCCTAAACCCCTAAACCCTAAACCCGATACCCTGAACCCCTAAACCCTCAACCTAAACCAAAAACCCTTAACCCCAGACTCCGGACCATCAGCCCGGAATCGAGTTTGTCTGTAGGTATCCGCCACGGCCTTGCATACACTGGCCACCCGCTCATGTCTGATGCAGCGCACTGCGATGCGCGCCTTGTCCGGCTAAAGCCTACTTGGAAAGTCGCGGGCGGCTGCGAGTCGGGTTAAAATTTCAATGCGTGCATGGACAACCTAAGTCAGGTGTAGCTGTGTTGTATCCAGGTCAGGTTTCGCTGGATGTACGTGCCCTAAACCCGAAACCCTCCAACCCTAAACCCGGAACCCTAAACCCAAGCAAAATAGTCCTAAGAGTACCCTTTAAGGGGACCCTATTACAGTACCTATTATAGTACCCTATAGTACCCTTTAAACCCTAAGGACCATGCAAACTCTTCGTGAAGGACTGAAAGGGTTCAGGGTTTAGGGTTTAGGGTCTTGCTGTGTGCGGTTCGGTCAGGGAGAGATTGGAAGTTCGAGCCTACCTGGGGCCTGCCTACAGTCTTCATTGTAGTTGTTTTTTTGGGCTACCTTGTAGGATATTTGGGTAAAATGAAGCAAAAAAGAAACTTCAATGGAGATTATACGTATATTGTCAGGATGAGAAGCTTTTTTGAACTGTTTTACCAGCGTTTCACAGGTGCGTAATGGAGTCGCAAATGGTCGCTTGAAGGCCTCTGTTGCCCTAAGCCTAAGGGGCTTCAGGTTCTTATCAGAAACGGTTAAGGGGTTCAATGGTCTTGGGCGCACGATATGTCTTTTTGTGTTTGGAGCTGGGATGGCTTCCTGTATTTCGTATTGCCGTCGGAGGATCAACCGGCTCCACATGCCCCTTCTACAACCCGACGTGTTACGGTTTAGGGTTTAGGGTTTAGGGTTTAGGGACAAAAGCTTCGACATACGGAGGGTATTCTCAATATATACCATGAACATATACCGCGGAGAAGCGGAGTGGCCGCAAGTCCGTTTTACGTGGCCAGCGTGGTGGAGCAGCTCATTTCCCGGAGTACGTGTATACTACTATAATTATGGGTGGTTGTCAAAATTATGGTCCCTTTTGGGCTCCCCTAAATAATAGGTGCCGTATTATAGTAAGGACCCAAAAGGGACCATAATTTTGACAACCACCCAATATAGTTCTCGGTGGAGAGCCTTTGGGATGTTGTGTGAGGAGGTCTAAGGGGGAAGAGGGGTTGCAGTGCCTCATATGTAGAGTTAGAAGCCCTGTGGCGAACTTTTGTCCTGTGGTAGTAACGTCACAATATTACCCTAAGAATATTGGGGGCAATAATTTGATACTTGTATCCTGGTAGTATTGTATAGCAATGTATATGTTACCCTAAGAATATTATGGTATTCGGGCACCAGTTTGATACTGATAAGGCTATTCTAGTACAGTACCACTATGCTACGTATGACTCCCTGTGAAGTGGCGCCCAGGAACACCGCGTCCGACCCAAAATTCCGCGAGGGCTTCAGCCTGCTCGCAAAGTGCCCTGGAATCTTTGTTAATAGGAGGAGACCTATCTTGGCTGAAGGGTTTCGGTAGTGTTGGGTTTAGGGTTGAATGGTTTGGGGTGGAGGGTTAGGTAGTTCTCTACGTTACCGTCCCTTGTCGGATCTGAGATAAGCTGCTCTACCTCTTTAAATTGTGGCTTAGAGACCTACCCTCTGCGGTTGAGAGCAGTCCGTGGGTTGTACCTTTCAATTTCCTTGGGGCCTCAATGGCGTGCCTTGTCTTCCATTCTTCAGCAGCTTCTCTGGATTTTGTAGCTGTTTGTCATCCGAAACCCTAAGCCTAAGTCGTAGACCGACTAACTTAGGATTCAGAGTTTCGCAGTCGTGTAGGGGTCGGAATAAATAGTAACGAAGTCTGCTCATCGCCGCTATAACATAGTTAGTTAGCCCTATTTTCGTTGTTTAGGGAAGCCTGGGTTCCGGTGTTGTGCACTTAACCGGGGCCCTAGCCCAAAACCTCCTAAACCCCAAGCCATCAACTCAAAAGGCCCCAATCCACCCTAAACCCTCTAACCCCAAGCCCTGTAGGGTTTAGGGTTTAGGGCCCATAGGCAACCGCAGATCTGCGGCCAGGTACGGACTCGTTTTCGACAGCCACTTTGTTGCAAGTAGTATCATACACGATGGGTCCATGACCCAAATAATTTAATAGTATATAATTCGGCCTTCAAGTAGTCCCCATTTAGGTACTTCGCGCCCAAAGTCTATAATATTTGTGTACATGCACCCTTTGGGATAGTAATCACACGAGTTACGGGGCTTTGTATGGTGGCGTATACTTACGACTTCTTCAGGAAGTTTGGCGGGCGTGGTGCTGGGCTCTAGACACGCCTTTGGCCCAGGTTTAGGGCTCAGAGATCTGCAAGAACTTTCTCAACCCTAATCCTAAACCCTAAACCCAAAAACCCTAAACCCTACACAGCAAAACCCGAAGCCCTCTTAACCCTGTAAGTTTCAAGTACCCAACAACCCGCCACCATACGATCTGCCAGCAAAAAGTCATTGAAGCCTGGGTAATCCAAATTGGAGCTGAGGGGTTCAGGCCTTCAGGAGGGGATTACTATAGGGGCTCAAACACGTACCAAGGCTATTCTTAGGGCAGGGCTCCGTAGTATAACTATATGAATATACCCCAAAACCCTACCATGGGTGTGGCTTGAGGCCTGTGTTTCGTCCCTCAACTTCGAAGCCTAAACCCCTTGTCCCAGAGGGTCCATGTGGAACATACTACCATTACGGAACTAGGTCTCAAAAGCCCATCCCCATTATGGTTTTGGGGGCTTAATTCCATAATGGTAGTAGTACATTTGGACCCTCTTGGTGCAGAACCCTCATACAAAACATGAACACCTCTTTGCAAGTGAAGAGCCAGTTGTAAAGACCCCGTGAAATCATGTGGAAGTCCTGTTGCAAGCGCTATCGACTGATCGTAGCAAGGAGGACGCTGTTGCTGCACGTCAAGTGCTCTCAACATCTATAGCCTAAACCCCTAGACCCTGAACCCTAAACGGAGTGGATGGAAAGCCCCACATCCGAGTATTCAAGTTCCTGATACTTTTCCTGATGGACAGTATCCATAGTGAGGAATGCACCATAATCCCCATAGCCACGGGCCTAAACCCTGAACCCCTAAACCCCGAAGCTTCAAGCTCAAAGCCCAAACCCTCCGTTCTCAAGCCCTAGACCCCAAGCCCCAAAGCCCTGAACTCTGAACGCCTAAATCCTATCCCCAAGCCCCAGGCTAAGCAACAAAACCCAGGCCCATAACAAGATGACATAACAGAATAAGACATGACATAACGGACATAGCACTCATAATTGATATAGTACAGCAGAGTATGGGCCAACAGGGACAAAAATAATAGCAATATCAATAATGGCAGTAGTATCAATAATAATAGTCTGTTTCATGGGCCATACGCATCATACTTATAGTATATATAATCTAAACCCTAAACTCCCAAAGCTCTCAACCTTTTACCCTAAACCCCTAACCCTAAACCCATACCCCAAACCCTCCTGTTTCCTAAACCCCTAAGCCCCTTTAAGGAATCCCCTTTAAGGAATCCCATAAGGAAACCCCAAACCCCTAAAGCTCTTTAAGGAATCCCATAAGAAAGTCCTAAACCCTATAAACCCTATAAACCCTAAACCCTATAAACCCTAAACTCCTAAACCCCTAAATCCCTAAGCCCCAAACCCTCAAGGATCCCTTAAAGGCACCCTAAACTCCCCACCTGTAGGGGACCCTAATATAGTACCCTAAGGATCCCTATTATAAGGACCCCAAAATAAGGGACCCCTAATTTTCTGAAACTCCCACAAACCCTAAACTCTATACCCTAAACCCTAAATCCTACACCCTAAACCCTAACCCCTAAACTCCCCACCTGTAGCTTC